TAACTATCACAAGCCTATAAGAAAGAGTGAGATAAGCTCATTTAGCTGAATTAAGTGGTGTCCCTTTATGTATAAAATTATTGGAATCCTTTTTTAATGTGTGAGGAAGCCTTTTTGCTTTTTCTTTAGTCTCCCAGCTTCTTCAATTACTTAAGAGGATATAGTATCTTTACATGGATTTTAAAAAGCAGTCTAGGATTTAGTTTCTAGTAAATGTCTTCACCGTTCCCTTTGTCTCTAGAAAATAACTCTCTCAGTGTATTTCAGTTGTACGTGTAGGAGAAATACTCTTAAGTTACAGTTGTGTGGTTTTGTTGGCAGCCCTAGATTCTCACTAAGCATGTATGGTGCCATTAAAGAAGGTGAAATTGTGCTTTAGCCCTCGAACATGGCAGGTTCCCTGTCAGTGGATTGCTAACTTCTTCTGAAGTACTTTTTTAACCATTGTTACTGAAATATCATGTCCCGGGTTTGGTGCAAAAAAACAGTCGTTCATGCAGAGAAAGGTAGGAGCTGTCTGCTTCAGTATTCTCATCATAGCAACAGGGCATGGTTTTCTTGAATATGCCTTTTCCAGTTTTGGAACTCATGCTGTATGTTGCTGAAATGGCAAGTCTTCCCTTGAAAGCAGAGCATAATGACAACATGGAAATCTTACAGCTGCAACTGCCCACACCTCCCTGGGTTGGGTGAGCTCAGTTCCTTTCTTCCCAAGGTCACTCACCTCAGTAGCACCATACGTTGTATTCATGTTCTAAGTGCATGCACATGCCTGTGTTTTGATCATGTTCTGTGTGTTTTATGCCTTCCCCCGCTGCCTCTCCAGCACTTGCATTGTATTCTGAACCTTCACTCAAGTTGTTAACAGTCATCCTTGGCAGACTCATCAGGGAACCATGGGCTGGCCTCTGTTGCTTGGGCTGTCACATCCTTGCTCCTTGTGCTATATCGGGTCTGGGGATTTCCATTTCCCGGACCAGCTGGAGAGCTCGAGTGTGCACACATGAGCCTCCATTGCTCACTGAGCCCTGACGAGTGTTGTTTCACTTAGCAACTCTGCCAGGGGTGATTCCTCACAGCACTAGGAGGCCTTCATTCATTTCTAGTCTGATAGACACTTTATCTTTTAGGAAACTTCTCTGTCTTACAGTGTTATTTGTCTGTGAAAAGGGCCAATATCCTTACTGGTTATGCAGTATACTTGCGTGTGATGGACTTGTGTGTAGTGTTGTGCTTCTGAAATGAGAGACAGATCTTGAGATGGTCCTGAACACAGTTGCAGAGAAAGCTCGAATACCAAAGTTTAATGGGAGCCCATGTTTCCTGATGGTAACTTGTTGTGCTAACAGCAGATTCATTTGTTTCCTAATTAATCAGAAAGAGTGTTCTTTTTATTTCAGCCATCTGGTGGAGAGCATGTTGTTTAGCTTCTTGCTACTGCAAATTGGAGCTACACAGGAAAAAGGATGTTTCAACTTCTGTTTTTGGCTTGTTTTTCTAGGTTGAGTCAGTATAGAGCACGTTAAAACATACAGTAATCAGTTGCAAAGTTCATCTCTCAAGGACTGCAAAAATCTAACTTAAATTTTCTTTCCTGAAAAGACAAGATGATGATATTGACAGATTAATTGCTTATTATTACTTGTTTTATTCCATGAAATCAATTCTCAAGACAAAAGCAAAATTTCCTTAGCGAACTGCAGGACTATTCTAGGATGCTGAATTTGTTACCGGTTTGTAGAGAACATTCAATGTTGCTTTCACATTTCTTCTTTGGATTAATGTCAAAAACATATTGCCTGTCACACAATTTGTCGTTGAGTGTGCCATTAGCTTGCTAACTTCTCACAAGGATCTTAAAACATTGCATTTTTTTTTTTTCTCCAGAAGTCCCTTTAGCGCAGCCTTTCTTTGGAAGCTATATTGTTCTTGTGGAATATTTTCCAAGGAGCAGTCTGTCCCTATGCGATGTTTACTGTATTTTTGCCTTGCAGCCAGCAGATTTTAGTACAAACTTGCCTGGGGGTGGCCTTGTCCTATTTTCCTCTTAGATGGGTCTGGCATTTATAGAGCTTGGGAGATCGTGCTTCTGAATTTTCCAGTCTGAAGAGCTCGAGCCAAAACAGCAGGGGAGATAGCAAACCTGTATGTTGTTTGGCTTACGGCAGCTGGGCCTGTTTTTCCTTTGACCTAAAGCAATGGCAGATTTCATTGGGTTTTGTGTGGAGGAGGGAAGTGAAAAAGAGGAAGGATACATGAGGAAAACTGCTTTATCTCTGCTTGGAAAAAGCAAACTTTCCCCACCCCCAGTCACTCTTTTTGCACCCTTAGCAAAGGTAACTCAGTAAACTCCAAGCTACTTTTACACTGCATGTAGAGATTTTCTTTGTTTGACTTAGTTTATGAATACTGATTATTGATGAGAAAAGGGACTACACTTTGTTTTAATATTGCGTTAACATTTTGAGCAAGAAACTCTTTTTATGTTGTAGTACCGTAGCACTTGCTGAATGGACTTTTTATTAGAGGACAGGCTTCTTTGCAGTTTTTAGTGACATTTGATAGCTTCCCACCAACCTGTATTTTCTCTCTTACGTTTTGGTCAGTGAAAGAAACTCTTGCCGATTAGGGCCCAGAGTCTCTACTGGGGAATGAACTATGATGAATGAATGTGGGAAAATATAAAATACCCCGCAGACGGGTGGCTCGGAGAACATAACAACTCTTAGTTTGGCCTTGTGCTCGAAGGGCCTTTGTTGTCTGTAAACACTGTCTCCGCAGTCATCTCCTCTAAATGAGGTTTCCTGTGGAAATAAATTTCATTGTTGCTGCCTTTTATGTGTACTAATCATACATTTATTGGCAGATATTTCAGTTAAGTTTTGCATTTATGTAACAAATATTTAGTTGTGCCACAGAGTGAATTTATTCCTAGAGGAATGGTTTTGCATGTGGTTGTTGGAATCCTGAGTTTATGAATTCGAGGAGCATAGGAGAGTTTCCTAAAAAGTTTATTAGAACGTGAGTGTTGAGGTTTAGTACATATTTGAAGCAGAACACAGATTAACACTGCCTATGTGTGCTAAGCATTTCCAAGGGACTCAAAGTGATTAAACCAAACTAAAATACATAGTTTCTCTAAAGATTGCTAGGATTCCTGCTTGTATGGCTGTGGTAGTGTGGGATAAACAGGTGACAGATCCTGAGCTGCCTCAGCTGAACATAAAAGGACATTTAAAAAAAAAATAATCTTTCTCCATGTTTTCATGTTTTCTCCCTTTATATTGTTTAGTTCATAGTTTTTCCTTACAGATAGTGGGGATCTTCTTGATGGTTGTTGTAGGAGAAACTATTGTTTCTGCTGTAGTTTTGGCAAGAGGTGATAGTGTAGAAGCTACATAGCTACTCCTTCTGTGAGGAAGCTGTTTACCAGCTTCATGATGCAAATGCTCATCCAGAATAAGAATTTTCTTAATTTGCAACTTGGATAAATTTCTCTCCCCTCCTCTTGTCCCTGTATGCAGCCCTCTGAGTCAGTCAGTGATACACCAAAATCCTGTTTATTCCTAAAGAGGATTATTTGGACCTGTAAATGGATGCAAGAAGCAAGGCGAACATCAGCTAGAGCAGACAAACGTTGGTCTAGAGGTTCCCATTGGGATAGGAATGGTCAGTACAGAGCTGATGCTGTAGAACCAGCATCTCCGGTCTCTCTTGGCTGAGCAGTGGGAATGCCTCAGGCTGTCAGAGTGGGCCAGGAAGGAGCTGAGCCTTTCAAAAAATATGCTGGCTTCAAAATCATTAGGTGTGTTATGTAGGCAAGTAGTCCAATTTTGCCTAGCTGTTCTATATTTATTTTCCTCTCTTTTCATTCTGCAAGTCAGTGTTGCAGTATGAGGCTTTCATTACTTCATAGATTAATTTGTTACCTGTCACCCAACTGAAACACCCTCACCTTTGCAAGCTTCACTCTTTGTGCATAAGAAGACTGTTTAAATTAAATACATTAAAAAAAAAAAAAAGTAATCCGTTCTGAGGGGATGATTTTTCTCATTTGCCTTTAATAATCACCTTGTTTCAGTGCTGGCTTTCTTTGTCTAATATGATTTTTTTTCTGCTTTTTGTTGCCCTTTGTTCTGTAAATCCCAATAGGCTGTAGTGGATTCTTGTTTCACATCATCCCCTTTTTTCAATGATTGTCCAAACTCTGAAGGCAAAACACAAAGGACCCTCAGACTTCTGTAAATGTTCTCTCTTGGACTTTAGTACTGCTCTTCATCTCACTTTTGCCACTAAATGTAGTAATTCCTATAATTTGTCTTCTGGTATTTAATGCTTCTACTGTTGCCCTTAGGAATAGATTTCCTTCCCATGTTAAACTTACTTGGTGAGGCTGTAATCATGACTTACTAATTTCTCTCTTTTTTTAATGTTCTCAAGAATGTCTTCCTTAACATTAAGTAGCAAATCTGGTAGATTCTTTGCTGGTATTAATTGCTGCGTAACCAAGTGCCCTTGAAAGTTAGTTATGTAAATGAGCAGCCTTGAGCTGGCCGTAAGAATGATGCTGGCTTGAGTTTTAATTTAATAATTGAGGATTTGGAACATAAAATGGTTCTTTAAATCTAAAATAGGATAGAGTCATATTCTTTATGAGACAAATTCTAGTTGCATGAACTATCATATATATCAGTGGTTTAACAGTTTAGTGATCACTTTGCAAGCAGGTGAGCACTTTAGATACAGTTATTTAGGAAAAAGTCTTGTGTTCAGTTGCCTTAGATATTTTTAGTTGAGTATTTTGAAATAAATTACTAATTTATTGTGGCTTTAAAATACTAAGTAGAACCTTTCTTGAAATACATTCTTAACATCTTTTTTTTTCCCCCTTTCTTAACTTAGTTATCATAAAAAGTTGCAATTCTTCTGTAAATGTTTCTTGTATTTTTTCTGAAGATGCATCATACTCGAATCTCTTGGCATATTAAAAAGTACATGAGTTCTGGACAGTGGAGGGCAGGTACATCATCCAAATAATTTTTTATGTCCCTTTGGGTAAAGGTTATTTACTGTTACATTGAATATGTGCAAAAATTGGTGGATGCGAAGTTATTTGCAAATACAGGCTTGGCAAACCTCCTCTGGAATTCGGAAAGGGTTTTCCAGCTCGACTTAGTCATTTTTTCCCAAATGTCTTGGCATAACTGATCACTCAGGAGTGACATATGGTAGAAACATGCTCTAAGGGACAAGTCTCCCGGATGGCGCACAGCACCACACAAGATAGACAGATGGTGGCTTATTCAACCTTGGAAAAAGTTTAATCCTACATATTGGCACGGTGGCCTGGGTACTGAGAGAGGCACACACACGCCTGTGAAATCTGAGGCAAAGCTTTTGTGAGTTTGCTTGCTATTACTGAAAGAACTAGAAAGATTGAGCTGATATTATACAGCACGAGTATCTTCAAAATTACATGTTCAACATGCTATCCAGAAAAAGTGATGTTCCCTAGAAAAGTGGAAATCCCAGAGTTAGCAAGACCACTGCAGAGAGTAAAGTTTGCTAAACTTTTCACAAGTGTTTAATGACTAAAACATATTTATTCAACAAAGCTGTTGAGTACTTAATTTATCCATCCATAGCTGTTGATTAATTGAAGTGTCTAACAGGAGAGAGGATATTTTGTTTTTCATAGTTATGTTTCAACTACATGTTAGTTTTGTGAAGTGTATTAGCATTTCACACCACAGAAACTGTAACCTTTCCCTTAAGTAAGTTCAAACAAAAAGTTACAAATTCTCTGATACTAAATTTAAATTTATAGCAGTAAATGCAAACTGTACTTTTTTTTTTTTTTTAAAAAAAAAAACAACCAAAAAACAACCCAACACAACACCAAAAACCCACCAAAAACCAGAAAAACATCAGGCCTTTCAGTTTAATGTCTTTGTGTTTAAGACAGTGAAGAGAGAGACAGGATATCTGACATGGGAAAATGAATCCTTGTTGTAGCTTGTTGAGATACCTGGAAAAGAATAAAATCTGCTCAGAATTCTTTCTGGAAACCCAGTAGCGAGTGAGTGATTGGAGTCAGTGCTGTTCTTTAAGGATTTTGAAAATATTAACCCACTGAGGACATGAAGGATTGCTTGCCAAACTTCTTTTTCCCCACTTTCTTTTTCTTGTAGATCACACTCAGTATTCACAACTAGAAGGCAAAGGAAGAATCTCCTTACTCTCTGGACTTCAAGGATATCATTATGTTGTACTGGATGAGTTTAAACTAGACAAGACTTCTTTCTGAAACACTTCCAGAAAGGTAAATATAATTCGAACAAACTCAAAATTCCAGTAGAGGGATACTTTGATCAAATTAATCTCATGCCAGTAAGTAACATTTCATCCATACTGTACCACAACATCATGATCTTTTTGATACATAATTTATCGCAATTTTATATATGTATGTGTTGATGTGTGTGTATAGATATATATCCATATACATAGCAATAGCTAAAACTTACTAGTAATGTTTAGATGTTGGAAGATTTTGATTTGTTAGCCCTGGTATTTTCTGTGGAAATTGGTTTCAAGAAATTCTCTTAGGTGAAAGATGGGGAAGGAAGAGGGAGAGAAGTGAGATACTCAGAGTAGCCAGTATATTGTTAATTATTTGCTTAGATGTGGAAGACCTAGTTAATGTTTCTGTTCTGCCTAATGAGAAAATTTACTTGAAAATGAGATCCTAGCTGCTGAACTATAGAGTCAAATGGCTCATTCAGCACTGACACATGCATTTAAAATACAGTGCAGTATGAGAGAGACAGAGATGCAAAGAGAGAGGCTAATTCAATAACCTGTTTTTTAAGATATGCATTGAAGAAGTAAGAGATGTCAAGTTCTTGCTTTCAGCTGAGGGTGCTCTTGTGTAATATAAAGACATGCTTACTTTTGGGCTAGTAAAAATAAACATTCACTCTTCCTAAGGATGTAAGTACCTTTCAGGTACTTATTTTCTTGTCACTCTTTTCTTTCTTTTGCTGTGCTCCGTTGTGGGAAATGGTGACCGTAGCATAGCCAAATGTGAAGGCCTACAGTAATTACTGCAGAACTAGTGCACTCTTTCTGCTTTCTGTTTTTTCATCTACTACAACTAATTACTATAGGACTTAGTCAATAAAAATCCTAATGATTAGATTTTCTGCCCAAGTGTACAGTCAGCCAAATATGACAGACATCAGTTTACTCTCTGCCTAGATCCCACAAGAGTGTCTTACACACTGCATGGAAAGAGTGAGTGTTCGGGTGGCCCATCCAGCCCTCTATGACAGAGTCGTGCCTTGCTGTCACAAAGCACGCCTGTGGGCCTTCCAAACATGATTTATTTGTGAGAAAGGGAGCTACAGTCTGGTGACACGATTAAAATTCTGCAGATCCACAGCTGACATCTTTTTGACCCAGATCTGAAGTTCAGACTTGGAAATACTTCAGTCCCTTGAAATTTTAAGTCATGCTTCATAGAATTGCTGGTTTTATAATTTATAGGTGAAGCGTGATCATATCATTGTTGAATTGCTGAACATCAGTGTGTGTGAATCAGCCATCTGCTGTCAGGGCTGAGTCTTGTATCTCCCTGGCCAGTGACAGTGGAGGTCATTAAACCATGATGGGTCTCTGTCAGATGGAAATGGTTCAAGGTAATAACATGGCTGTGTCCAGAAAAAGATACTTTTCTTTAGCCTACTGTTAGTAATGACAGTTGGAGGACTGAAGTGTAGGAAGAGGAGTTGTAGTAGAGGAATGGAGACTGCATGAAGACAGAGATGTGAAAGGTTTGGATGTTTGAGAGGAACAAAGGCTGTCTTTTGTAGCAGGGTTTTTGAGTTAATTTTGAAACCAGATGAGGAATGAAGAAGCTCTCTACACAGAAGAGAAGCAGCTTTCAGGATTTTGAAGAGAAGTTGCGTGTAGTAGAGATTTTTTTAAAAGGCTCCGATCCTTAGGTCACTGACCTGAGTGTTAAGGAAGCTGAGATGCAAAATGCCTGTAGTCTAGTCTTACTTTATTTTGTTTAGACTTGCATACCTTGTGCACTTCCCAAGTGGAGAGTGATTGGGTATTTTGGAACTTGTACAAAGCTTGTGCGGGTTTTTCTTCAACCACCTAATATCCTGGAAACGCAGCATACCTGCAAGGTTAGATTCTTGTGTTAAACTTGCTGTGAAATCTGGGCAGGATGTGGGTTAGTGCTAATGATGGGATCTTGTGCCATCTTGCTCTGCCTGCCAGGTCCTGTTTCTTTGGAGATATGGTAATCAATAACAAAAAATATTTGATGCAGAAACTAAGAAAAAGATTTGACAGGAGGTAACTGATCTGACCCAAAGGAGACCAAAGATGGTTAAGAAGGGACAGACACAACTGTGTCTGCAGTGGTGGGAATTCTACCATATATACTAGTTCATGCAAATTGCTGCTGGACTGTTGATAGATCCCCTGAAGTTGGGAGATTTTCCTGAGGTATTAATTCCCTATTTAGTACTTAATCTCCTTCTTTCTTCCTCTCCTCCCCCCAAAGAACCCCAGACCCCACTGGTTTAAAAATGGTGTATACCATGCACAGTTGATGTAACCACAGGTGGGTTGCGATGTGCACTAAAGATGATGTACCTTTCTTAAAATCTTAAATGCAGGTAAAGCTGAAAATGGCTGCGATCATTTTTATGCTGTCTATCCCCCTTTGTTCTCTCTCCCTCCCCCTTCCGCTTGTGCTCACTTGCTCTCTCTTTAGTATAACACAGTTGAACAGCAGTGAAGTGTAAAATGTGCTTTTGCCAAGGTCAGTTTCTTGTGATTACTCGCCTGTGGCAACTTATGCCAGTTGCAACAGACTGAGTCTCAGCAGTCCACAAAGTCACACTGGTGCTTATGCAGAGGACACCCAGTGTAGGTTATAGTAACCATAGTCTGGAATAGCTTGCAATGCTGCTGAATTTTAGCACCTTATATTTAACTCTTCTGATCTAGCTTGCTTTGGTGGTTTGAAGCCTGTTCAATGAAGCACTACGTTGTCCTGTTCTCTGGAGACCCTGGAGGAGGATTTTGTGGAGATGAAATTCTTGTTGTTAGAGGTTTTTTTCTTTTCTTATAGTGGTTTGCTCAAATTTCAGGAATTATTCATAAATGAAGAGAATGCATCTTCTAAATATTATTATATATATATATTGTGGTTGGCTTGCTTTTGGAGAAAGTCATATCAAATACTGCTCCATTGACATTAAAAGAAGAGAAATTTTATATCTACATAGTAAGCAGTATTATGGAAATGTTTAAGAGGTAGTTTTTAAAGCAAGAACTTAAAACATAGTTACACACAGTCTTTGTACCACCTTTAAAAATGTTGTATACATCACAAGCATAAAATAATTTTTTCTTTAGAAGCTAATAATGATTCTGACTGATGTGACTGGGGAACGAATGTGAGATTCAAGAACATCTGTTTTATGAGATAAGATTTGTTGGATCTCGTTTTGTTGTGCACACTGGATTGGGTACCACCATGTGATAACCAGTGGAAGTGGGAGAGACTTTCACTTTCATTCTCCTTTCTCGCATATGAGCAACCATATCACTTTATGAAAAAATGTTCTATTTAGAACAGAAAAGCATGGACTTCCCATGTTAATTTTGTTTATTAGTGCTGTCATCAACAATATACATAATTTTGTTCTCCTTCTGGAAATACTTACTTTAGTAAGAAGCATTTAGCTCTTGAGCTCTGTGATAGTGACTTTGAGGTTACCTGTCCATCACGACTATTGGAGAGGCAATAAGAAACCTAGATGATCGGCTGAAGGGCTAGAGCTGAACTTTGCTGACCTTTGAAATTCATTTAAGTGCAAAATTTTGTTGCTTAAAATTGATTATGCATTTGGTTAATTTTGAAACTATGTGTTGCTGTATTAAACACTTCTCTCTCATGTTTGGAATGATTACTGAGCACAAGTGAAATAATGGGTTAGCAATTGAGTCTTGATCCTGTCAACACACTTGTAGAAAGCACACAAGAATACTCCCGTTGTGCTCAGTGGAAATCCACACAGAACAAGGTGAAGATTCAGAAGCTAAGTCATCTGAAGCACTTCACGAAGGGTTCATCCTGTGTTTTCTGTTTAGTTTTGCTTCCAGGTTTACAAGAAGTATTGAGGAGTTTGTGACTTGTTGCTTTTTTTGCCTATATGGAAGACAATGAACTCAGTCTTGTGTTGCAAGTATGTTTTGGTCTGATATTTGCTTGTATGGTTATCATAGCCTATATGATTCTATTGCCAGCTTCTATTCCTTTGCTTTTAATAACATTGTATTGGCCCAACTCTCATGGAAGAATATGCTATGAGAACTGTGATCAGTCTTTGTGAAGATTAATCTATCTACTCACCTTAAAGTTGAAAATTGATGGTGGAAATGAGCAATGTTTTGTGTCTGTGCTGTGGTAATATAGGCCTGTAGCACTTGCAGTGGTGCACATTGTCTTCTGCCTGTTAGAGAGACGATGGAAATGAATGTTACAGGATGAAACAACTGTACTATAGAAGGTGATCCTCAGTCATCTGAGAAATGAACAAATGGGTGTTCTTGGGTGTGGTAATATAGAAGAGTAGCATTGTTCACGCTCACCAGAATTTGTCCCATTAATTTCCTTTAACCTTAAGGAACTTGAGGAAAGAACTGTTCAGACACCAAAGTTGTTTTTGGAATATTTGTAATGACGTTCCTGCAGTGGGTGGCTGCTGCTGCATGCTCTGAGGATTTCCTCAGTACATTCAACAGGAGCAAGCAGTTGACAGCTGAGATTGAAGAAGTCTGCACAAAACCCTGAACTCACTCAAGTCTTAGTGCTGAGCTCCTAACCAATTTTTAAAAATTCATTAGAACTTCACTGTTTCTCAAGTTCTCACCTCCTGGATTCTGGGTGATAGCAGAAATGCTTTGCTGCACACACTAAAGGTAGATGTGTTTTTTTTCTGGACAAGTGAGAATCCAGAGCCCTTGAAGTCTTGCAAGATTTGCAGCCTACTTTTTTTTAACTCATGGGTGGAGACATGAAAGCCTGTTAAGGGATTTATCCATACACTTCTAGTAGTTTTAAAGGGAGCTCTCCAAGTCACTGTCCTAGTCAGCTCTGAAATATTTACTGTGGTAATTCAGATGTGCTGGAAATAAGTGTTTGAACATGGATAGAATCCTACTTTTGTAGTGCACCTGCAATTTTTGAGTACCATAGGAGGCTTCCCTTTCTGAAGACAACCAGAGCACTCT